ACACTAATTTGGCTGATTTTCCTAGCAATGTTATGGGAAAAGATTTACAGAAATCTAGCCTGACTGTACTTACCTCACAGGCAATGAACGTGGACTTGTGAAAACCTGATATTTTATTTCAATTTTCTTTCACCACAGACCTCAAAATAGAGTCAAACTCATTTAGTTACTGACACATGAATTTATGAATGTAGTGAATCTGACAGATATTTGTCTATATTAAATGTCAAACACTGTCTTAAACATCTTTAAATGATATGCAATTCATATATCAAAAATTCACTATTTTATGTATATAATTCACAAGGAGTTAATGAATCATTTGGAGTTATTTGCTTTTGCAGCTTTACCCTGACATCATCACCATCTTTTTCAATTCCCTGTTAACACTAGTAACAATTTTTAGTGTCCTGTGTCACTCATTTTCCCTATCCATGTTTAAGCAATAATGTACTTCAGATGTCTATAGATTTGCCTTTTCTTGGAAAGGTACATTGTATCATCTCTATTGTAATGTTATTATATTGTTTGTATGTACATTTTGCCTTCAGGTATCATTCAGAGCCCTGGTAGAACAGAAGCACACACTGGATAACCTGGCATTAGTCTTAAACTGCCTCATGGTGATGCAGAATGAACACAGACCCACGGACAGTACTCCTAACAACTGATCCATTACCCCATCTCCGGCAACCACCTCCCCACTCCTGCCCTCCCCCGTTTCAATTTTTAACCTAGCTTCTTTCACGTGATCTACTATTTTCAATGTTTATCCATGTTACAGTATATATAAATGCTTTTTGATTTCACAGTCAAATAATACTTCATTATATATAAAAATTTCACTTTCCTCAGTGTATTGTCAGTTTGGGCTTTTATTGGTAGTATTGTAACATTGGTTTGCATTTATTTGCATGGATTCTAAAAAAAATTCTCTTGTATTCAACTAACAGTGGAGTTGTTTGGTGATGTAGTAAGTATACTTAAAATTCAAGAAATTTTAATTTGCTTCTCAAAGTCACTGTGATGTTTTACAAATCTAAAGGCAGTGTCCTGGAGTTTTAATTGTTCTAAATCTTCAATAACTTTTGCATTGGGCTGCTTTGCTTTTAATCATACCTAATGAATGTTAGGTTTGGGCATGGTTCTACTTTGTATTTTCTTCATGTAGGGGTGTGGCCTTATGAACTTTCACCCATCCACTGTGGCATGTATATTGTTATCATTGTTCAGCTCATTTTTAGTCAGTCATGTTAGTGAGCCTATGGATCTAGCTTTTGACAGTAAAAGGAGACACAACCCCACAGCAAGCTCTCTGTTCCCCTTTGCTTTTGCATTCTTTCTGCCCACTCCCCTTACACAATGATTTCTGAGTTGTAGATACAGAAGCTGTGTTATACACATATCATTTGAGGCTGAGCTCCACAACTCTATATATTGATTTGTTGTAGTATTCTGTAGTAGTCTCATTCTGTTGCATAAAGAAGTTTCCTTAATAAGGACTGAGGATTTTTAAAACATATTCATAGTATTATAATTTTGAGCATATGGACACTCAAAGTGTCTTCTTTCACTTAGTATTATGTCTTTAAGTTTTATTAATATTTTGCAGCTTGATAGGTCTGTACCTTGATATTTTTAGTGCTGAAAAATATTATATTATCTGGTTACACCAAAATTTATTTGTCTACTTACAGACTGGCAGACATGTTGATTGTTTTCAAGTTTAAAAAAATTACAAATAAAGCTACTATATACATTTACACAGGGAATTTTGAATGTAAGTTTTTAATTCATTTGACCAAATATTAATGTTTAACACTACTGTTTTGTGAGCAAGAAATACATTGGAAATTGACAAAATAGTTTTGGGAGTTAAAGGGTATAAATGACATAAAATATTTAATAAAATCTTGAAAATGTGTTAAGGATAACTTTGTCTTATTTTGTATTTTCGTTGGAAATTGGTAAAACATTTTCTAAAACTACCATATATCCCGTTATCACTAAAATTGAGTAAGAGTCTGTTACTCTACAAACTTAGCAGCATTTGATGATGTCATTGTTTCATATTTTGGTGTTCTAATGGTTGTATATCTGCTTTGCATTGATCCTTTGTTTTGCAGTTCTCCAGAGCATACACTGTAGACATACAACATTTTGTTTCATAGCTACTTGGCATCTGTTTGCCTTCCTTGGTAAATTGTCTGTTGAGATCCTTAACCTAGTATTAAATGTTGGCTACTTGTTGTTAAATGTTAAGAGTTCTTTGTATATTATGAATAAAGACCTTGTGGTTATTTTGCACTGCTAGTTGTTGTGGTTCATAGGTATCATAGCTGGGTAGGACTGTTGGTTGCTTTCCTCCACTGGAAACTTGCATGGAATCTTCAGAACAAGAAACTCTGGGTCCTGTGTCAGAGGTGCATGGTGTATTAGCAATAGAGAATTACCTTCCATCTCTCAGGTGCAACCAAGGCAATACCCTGTTTATTTGGAAGTCTCTTGGTGACACCTGATTAAAAGATGGCTTTTCATGCATGGTGTTGGGGTTTTGATAGGTGATTTTTGGCTCTTGGAGTCAAATGAAATGGTTCCTTTTTTCTTCCTGATTTCTTCAGTTACTCCAAGATATGGATTCACAGTTGAATATTTGGTCCCAGGAGCCTCTAATGAGAGAGGATATGCTTTTGAGTATGTTACTTCACTTAATGTGATCTTTCTAGTTGCATCTATTTACTGGCAAAGTTCATTATTTCATTTTTAGTTACATATGAATAATATTCCATATGTACCAAGTTTTCTTTATCTGTTCATGCACTGAAGGAAAATTAGGACACTTCTATTCCTTAGTTATTATGAATAGAGCAATAATGAATATGGCTTAGCAAGTTACTATGCAGTAGATTAACAAGTGCTTTGGGACTATGTCAAGGACTCCTGTAGTTGGGCCCTATAGTAGATTTATTTTTAGCATTTTGAGAGTTCTCTACATATATTTCCACAGTGTCTATACTAGTTTGCAAACCCACCAATGGTGAATGAGAGTCTCCTCCCCAGACCCTCTCCAGAAGTTGTAAGTTGTTTTGTTGATCTTTGCCATTCTGATTGGGGCAAGATGAAATATCAAAGTTACTTTGATTTGCCTTTCCTTATTTTCTAGAGATATTTGCTAGAGATTAAAATTTTTGCAATGTTCCTTAGCTAATTATTTTCTCTTTTGAGAAAGTTCTCTGTATATCCTGGATATTAATCTTCCCTCGGGTATAGTGATGGCAAAGATTATCTCCTATTTTGTGGACTTCCTATTCACCTGGTTGATTGTCACTTTTGCTGTCACTTTCAATTTTATGAAATCAAACTTGTTGATTATTGATCCCAATTTTTAGGCAAATGAAGTCCTATTCAGAAAGACCTTTCCTACATGTATATCAGGTAGGGTACTGCCTATTTTTTTTTAGAAGCTTTGATGTTTGTTTCTGGTTTTATGTTTAGGTCTTTGATCCATTTGGAATTAGTTTTTTGTGTAAGGTAAGTCTAGTTCTATTCTTCTCTTATGTATATCTAGTTTTCTCTGCACCATTTACCATTTATTAAATGTGCTTTCTTTTCTCCAGATTGGCTTCTTTGTCAAATATTAGATGGTTGTTGTTATATATGCTAATGTTTGAGTCTTTGATGTTGTTCTATTGCTCTATGTGTCTGTTTCTGTGCCATACAATATTTTTGTTATGATGACTCTGTAATATATCTTAAGATCTGTGATGGTAATCACCCCAGAATTATTCTTTCTGTACATGGTTGTTTTGACTACCCTGGGTCTTTTGTGGTTCCATGTCTATTATAGGATTGATTTTTTTTCTTTTTCTATGAATAATGACATGATGATTTTGATTGAAGTTGAATTGAATTTGTAGCAACTTTTAGTAAAGTGATCTTTTTTTCACAGCAATAATCATACCATTTCATGTACTTAGGATGTCATTCTATTTTCTAGTTATTTTTTATCTCTTTATTCAGGATTTTAAAGTTTTCATCATAATGATCTTTCATTTCTTTTTTTAGGTCTTTCCCTAGTCTTTTGTTTGTTTGTTTTAATTGAGACTATTAGGAATGAGAGTGTGTCCGTGATCTCTTTATCTCAGTGCTTGCTGTTTAGGTATAGTAAAGCTATTGCATTGTGCAAGGGGATTCTTTACCTTGCCATTAGGCACAGATGTTTTACATTTGTTTGTGTCGGATATTGAAGGTATGTTACATTTATTTCTACTGCCTTTTTTAACGATGTAAAAATGTGTTACATTTAATTATGTAAGGATGTGTTGCATTTGTTTCACCTTAACTGCCTAAGGCATCTTATTGGTTTAGTAAAAACTGAATGGCCAATAGTTAGGCAGGAGAGGAATAGGCAGGGCTGGCAGGCAGAGATAATAAATAGGAAGAGAGATCTAGAGAAGAGAGAAGAAGGAGGAGGAGAACAAGGGAGAAAGAGAAGGGCACATCCAGGGCCAGAAGCCAAGCATGAGAAGCAGTGAAAATGGGACATACAAAAAGAAAGGTAAAAAGCCCTGAGGCAAAATGTAGATGAAGAGAAACTAGTTAAGTTATAAGAGCTAGCAAGAAATGAGCCTAAGCTAAGGCCCAACATTCAAAACAAATAATAGTCTCCCTGCCATGATTTGGGAGCTGGTTGGTGGGCCAAAAGAAGAAACCTGCTACAGAATTTATTGATAATTTCTAGAAATTTTCTAGTAGAACTTTTGTGATTTTTAATTATTGTATCATGTCATCTGCATAGGGATTGTTTGATTCTTCTTTCCCTACTTATATCCCTTGAATTTCTTTCTCTTGTCTTGGCTTCACCCAGTACTTTGTGGACTATATAGAAAAGGAATGGGGATAGTGGATATGTCGCTGCCTTGAAGGCCAGACTCCAGCAGCACAGGGCTCAAAGGTAAATCCACAGTATCTGTGCATACTAAGACTTTTCTATCTGAAAGGTTTAGGGAAAAAGACACTCACACATTCTCTTGATTATTTTCTTCTTTATTCTCTATTCTTCTGTGTTCTTTCTGTATTTTTTATTGTTGGTTGAAGAAAAAAAGACACTCCAAGATGAAATATTAAGGTCTATGTTACAGCAGGAAGGTCTAGCCTCTTCTGATGGAATGAACTAGACTGGACTGGACCCCAAACAGCTGTACAAAGATGCTTTTATTGATTGTTACCCAAAGTATGTACTCATACCAAGGTCCTTAATCTTAATTTACTTGTTATATTGAAGTGGGGCTTCATACAATTATATGACTCTAGTCCTTTATTATGTGTTGTGTGCAATACATAATATTACAAGAGTCTCAAGTATGCTTGAGGTGTCTAGTGACCAAAGTTATGGGACAGCTGTGAAGCTCTTTCTGCAAAACAATCACTGTTCTCCATAAGGATTCTTCAAGGTCAATGTACTTCTAAAAATCAGCTGATCATTCTAATATCTACCCCATACAGTCTTAAAGGAATCACAAACCTAAACTTTTATACATTAAAAAAAATCAGTCAGCTGTACTTTAGATTCTTAGGGTGCATACCCACTCATCAGTAGTTTTTTATATCAAGAGATTGAGTGCAGGAATGGGTACAAGGAATTAATCATCACCCTTGATCATCAACCAACCCTAGCAAGAAAATACATCAGCCAGTAACTGTTGAGCTACTTTGTATTTTTTGACCTCAGCTATTTGTCCTTATGAACTTCTGATTGGTTTCTGGAGTTTTTCATCTTAAGGCTATTATCAAATCATCTTATTTAACCTGAAGTTATGATAAGGCTTTGTTTCAGCTTATGATGCACACCAAAACTGTGACTACATCTTTCAGCATTGAGATTAAAGAAATTTGAGCCAGCCTTGAACTTCATTTGCCACCTGCTGCTCCTCTAACATGGCCACAGCACAGATATTTCTGTCTCAACCTGACTTCGGTGAGATTGCAAAACTTTTTCTACTTAGGGTATTTGATTGCATATCTCTCATATATAGCTTTTATTACTTTGAGGTATGTTCCCACTAACCCTATGTCTATTATCATGAAGTCATTTTGGATTTTACTAAAGGCGTTTTTCCTGCATCTACTGAGATAATTATCCAATTGTTTTTATCTTTAAGTCTATTTTTATGGTTTATTACATTTATTGACTTGTATATGTTGAACCATTCCTCCATTTCATGGATAAAGCCAATTTGACCATGATGGATATTATCTTTTTTTGATATATGTATGTGTTATGTTTGCAAATATTTTAGTAATTGTGAGTCTGATATGGACAGAGCAGGTTGGGAAAGAAGAAAGGATGTGCATGTATGTTAGGCCTAGAGAGTGGAAATGGCTTGGATGGAATTGTGTCAAGTGGACAAAGGGATTGCATTGTTGTACAAGATGTATCTCCTGGTCCAAGCATGAAGCATGAAGTTAGATATGGCTAGGTGAAAATGTTGAATGTGGCATAGGCAGGGCTGTTGTTTGGAAGATGTCAGAGAGCGTCCTCTCTGAGGTCTAGAGATCTGTGATGACAAGAGCAGGGGATGGTAAACTAGGCTGGGGTATTGGATATAAAACCTGATTTAGATATATAGGGTTGGGTAGATTTGTGGATAGGACAGGTCAGGAAAACTCACAGAGCTTGGAGAAGGATGTGGGAGATATACCTTGGTGGAGATATTGGGTATGGTGCATAAGGGACCAGTGTATTGTAGCTGATAGGGTGGGTGTTGGTAAATAATTAGAAGCAAGTTGTGGAACAGACATTGGGTAGCCAAACTAGGTTGGGGCATGTGATTTGGAACCTGAGATAGAGCTGGCTGGTTAGGGAAAGCATGAATGTGGAGGGTAGGGGAGATTGGGCTAGATCCAGGAAAAATAAGTAGGAGGTCCATCTAGTTAGAGAGGTTGGATGCAGCACTGAAGGGACATTTGGGTGGTGGCAGGTAGGGAGGATTCTAGTGGTTGGTTTTGGTACAGGCAGATTGGCCGAACTATGCTCTGCCACTGGTAGTGAGACCTGGTCTGTCAGGTTTAATAGAAGGTCTAAATGAGGAAAGTCAGGGAGACTCATGGGTGCCATTTGTACCTGAAGTTTTTCTCCTAGTCCTGCCCAGCTCTTGTGGACCTGCAGTCCCGCAGTCATTCAGACAAAAGTAAACAAACAGAGGCTTATATTATTTTTATTTTTATTTTGTTATTTTTTTTTGAGACAGATTTTCTCTGTGTAGTTTTGGTGCCTGTCCTGGATCTTGCTCTGTAGACCAGGCTAGCCTTGAACTCACAGAGATCCACCTGGCTCTGCCTCCTGAGTGCTGAGATTAAAGGCATGCATCACGACTGCCTGGCATTATTTTTAAACTGTGGCTATGGCAGGCATCTTGCTAGGTAGCTCTTCTATCTTAAATTAACCAATTTATATAAATCTATATTTTGCCACATGGCTCTTGGCTTACCGGTACTTTTACATCTTGCTTCTCATGGTGGTAGCTGGCAGCATCTCCTCTGCTCTATGCAGAAGTCTCACCTATACCTCTTGCCTAGATATTGGCCATTCAGCTCTTTGCTAAACCAGCCACAGCAATATATTTTCACACAATGTACAAATATACCACAACAATAGACCCTGGAGAAGCTTGATTTTTTTTTTTAATTTACACAACTTTTCTTTATTACCTTGTAACTATAGGAAAAAGACTATACTCTATTTAGTGTATTCATTCCATTATTTTTGACTCAAGTAATAAAAGTAATAGTGATTTAATTATTTTTATTTAATCTTTAATTACAATTTGATATTAACATTAAATTAATAAACATGCAGTTTTCCCCCCACTGGAGATAGATATTAAAACTTAGGAACAATGTAATGTATTTTCTTTTATCTTTTATACTTTAACTCTTTTGCAAGGTATGACAACAAAACTTGTTGTATTAACAAATTTTATTTGCTTTTTTGAGGGTGAATTCTCTGTAGATAAATTTGCAAACCCCAAACTAGCCATTGACAATTGACATAATACTCAATATACTTCTAAAACCATGCCTCATCAAACATTAGAAAAATATAATTTATACAAAAGTAATACAATCTATTTTAATTTTCCCCTCAGAAATCTGCTAAATTTTAAAGAAATTTAGTTCCTCAAAATGGGAGAACTCTTTGAAATATGTAAATGTATCTGATTTTGTCTTTAAGTATTTAGAAACATGAGCAAGCATATCTGAGCCCCATGTTTGGCTACTATTTTCTGGGTTGGAAATTAAATGTGGCAATAATGGTACATTTGGAAAGCTCACTGAATTTTTTAATGGACCTATGATTATATAGCATTTTAATTTCTGGTTGATTAAAATAGCATTCAGCTGTTCTTCCAGTGAATATCCTCAGAAGAGATCAGGAAATAACAGCTCTAAATGTGCTTATGAATGTTTTACTTAGCTCAATAATAGGCTTATAAGCCATTAATTTTATAATTCAATCAAGTCTCACAAGATGCTCAAAGCTGTAAAATGTTTTAATACTACATTTAGGCTTTGGCAACCTAATACATATATATGTCATTTTCCTTTATCATGCTTTGAATGTTTTATTTTAATTTATTTCCATTATCTCTCATTAAAATTGCTGCATTTTTGTTGATATTTTTTCTCATTTGAGCACTGTAACATCCCATAAGGCTGTAGTTAAGACTTGTATAAACAAAGAAGTTTCTGGAATCTCTGGAGCAAACTTTCTGTGAATTCTGACTGAAGCTCCATTGACAGCCCATATAACCAGTACAGTTTATACTTCTCAACCATTACTTTCCTGCCTTCTGTTTTCACTTCCCATATGTGGAAACTATCTATACATAGTTCCCCTTTCATTATATTTAATTTTATTTGACCCCATCTCTTAACTGGAAAAGACAGCTATGATTTTGGCTATAAATGTTTACATCTTGCTATTGTTAGAATGTTTTATTGATTCTTCTGATTGTACTGCTTTCAGATACATTCAGTAATTATCAGGCATTTCTAAACATTCTGGCATAAAAGGATTATAGTTTCTAGAACCCAAAGCTTTCAGACAAAAAGCTGGGTGATTAATTGCACCACTAATTTCACAATAGATTAATGCTAGTGTCACTATCCATGTTATAGATAGAATATCATTTCTTTCTCAAGGATATTCTCTTTTGTTATTTTGTTTTTATGCATTTTCTAGGGAAAATCTCAGCAATTTATTTTTTAAATCTTACTATTTCTTACATACTTTACTCTGGAATTTGAGATCAAAGGACACAAATTACTACTATTTAGAATGCCCTTTGACTCTTTTATGACCAGTATCAATGGATTTATGAAGTTTTTAACTCTCAGATACTCTATAGTAGTCATCCTCAGTTTTGTATTGCTCCCTTTGTCTGCATTATTTGTTCCCTATTTTTTATTAAATGCTTATTTCCCCTCAATTCCCCCCAAAATCATGCCCCTTATCACCATTGCATACAAAGAACAAGTAACAAAAAAAACCAAATAAATTGAATTTCCTTGGAAAGTGTTCAATATTTATTTCTTCCAAAATACTTCCTCTTGGAATAAGTAATAATAACAGTAAGAATGGAAATATTAACATTTAATCATCAGCACTGTTGTGTACATTTTGCTATGTAATTGTTCAAATATTTCTCAACATGAACAATTTTTCCTTTTGTGACTGTTTCAAATAGTTTTTAAAGATTTGCTTACTTATTTAAATGAATATTTTTATGTGTCTGAATGAGTATATGTGCACCATACACATTTAGAGAACTACAAAGCCAGGAGAGAACATTAGATCCCCTGGAATTGTAGGAAAAGGAGTTATATATGTCCATGTATGTGCTGAGAACCAAACCTGAGTCCTTTGCACAAGTAGTAAATTTTCTTTAAATGCTGAATCATCTTTCCATCTCCCAGTTCCAACTATTACCCCATAGAGTTAACAAACAGAACATATATTCATATCCATTTTCCTGAATATATTTGTCTGCCATATATTGAAACCAGAAGCAATGCCAATAGCATATAATGTTTGTTGATCTGAGGAACCCCACTAGCCAACAACTCATTCCTGACACTGGGATTTTTATTTGCTAATATGTGGTGTCTAGGGAATATTGTCCTCTTATTAGATGGTAGCTCCATTTAAACTCTTTGGCAGAAATGAAATAAGTAGGCAGAACACTGGAAATTTATAACAAGACAAAAGCTGAAACCCAAAGACCTGTGACTGACTTTGCATGAAGGAATTTACTTAACTAAAAAACATGAATTTCCATTTGCACAGTTTTGCAAATGTTAGTGGCAGACAGAAATACCAAAGAAAATATAAAAAACAGAAAGCTAAGAAATGGACCCACAAGTGAAAACAATATGTAAGTAAGATGAAAGAAAACGTTACTCAATCAGTGGCGCCTGGACAATTATTTACCATAGAAAGAAAGCAGAAAATTATGTCTGCACATTAAATCTTTCTCACAGTTGTTCTTGAACTAGGTTATAAACAGACATATAAAAGGCAGAGCTGTAACAGGTTTAGGCTAATATATGGTAAAACTCCCATGGTATGAGAATTTTAAGAACAATATAAAAGAGATTGTTGGTCATTGTGATTACACTAAATTTAAAGGTTTCTTTCACATTCATCAAAATTCACTGGAAGCATAAGTGAATAAATAAAAGCACCCAACTGTAGTGCATAATAAAAATCCTTGTGATTGACAAAATATATTTTAAAACTCAAGAAAATATAGTTACAGATCTTTGGCTAAAATATCTGCTAAGTTCCTGAAGCATAGAAGTAAACAATAAATACTCAGTCAACAAGTATGAAACTGTCATAACTTGGTTATACTTCCTGCCCTAAATGAAGGTTTGCCTTGGTACTCTGACCTCTTCTTTACTCTTAGAACATGA